TTATAAAATCTAGACACATGATAAATAATATACCGGGAAAATCTTTTCGGGTATAATGTTCGTGTATAATTATTTGATTATACTAATGTAAATAGTACGTTGAGATTGTTCGACGATAGAACAGATGGAAATCTATATCTATATAGTTTCGTTTCATGTCTTTTAAAAATGCTACAAATGAGTTTCAATGTTGTCTCAGTCATTTTTCATTAGCTTTTCTTTTGTCGAACTAAGTAGAACCTCGTGAAGAATATATAAAAAAACAAAGTTTTTAATAACAAGCTTTTATTTGTGCGTACTTAAACGTAAATAAATAATTTCTTAACATTTAAAGTACTTATAATCAAAATTTTCTCTACCAGTAATAGGGATGATGACTTAATTTTGTTTGTTTGTCCGTCAGGTAGAGTGTTAAAAAATATTAAATACGTATTTTTTTATTTTTTTCGTAATCATAAAATTACGGCGTTAGATTAAGTTGAAATTTCGCATGACGTCACGTTAGAGTATGTTTTCTACTCAACTGTGACGTAGCGAGCCCCCGCTCCTCAACTTTAATGCCTGTTATCCAAGCTATTTCTTGTTAAATTGAAGTAAAAAAAATACGTATCTAATATTTTTCTATTATCTGACTGACGGACTCAATAGAATTACATTTTTTTTACCCAGTCATCATCCCTATTGACTTGAAAAACTTGTAACGCTAATGAAATCGGTGACGAGGAAATACCTACACATACTTTTTACGCGTTACAAGCTTTTCAAGTCACTGGTAGAGAAAATTTTGATTATAAGTACTTTAAATTATTTACGTTTTAAAGCGCATAAATAAAATCTTGTTTTTAAAAAACATTTTTATTATATTCATATTTTTTACTTTTCAGTTTTCTCTCATTACGTTTAAAAAAATGAAATGCATCCCATAAAAAGCAACTTAATTGAGTCTGTTGCTGTAATTAATGTAACAAATTATTTCTCATTAAACAGCAAAGTTGTATGATGCATTGTATATATAGGAAAGTAGTACATCGCTCTAAGAATTGTATGATTAGGCAAAGAATGGGCGGCACCAGAGAAATCAACAGACCGTGATTCACACGGCCTTCCGCTTACTACGCTTGACTACCTACCAATCCAAAGACACCATCTTTTTACGAGATCTAATCTCCTGGCAAACTTTATTCGATGCTTTGGACCTGTTACATTTAAATATTCATTGTGATTATTAAACAATTTATTTCATCAGTAATAGCTGATAATTTCAAAAAATACAGAAGAGATGGATTTTTTAGATACAGGACATGTTTGAAATATTTTTTAACCTTCTTGAATCACTCTGTATATTGTTGAAAACCCTATAAATGTCTGTTGTGTAGTTTAAAAGATCTTAGAGTACCGACAGCGGGAATCTACCTTGTTACAAATTTATCTTATCATCTATACTTAAAAAGTGTATCTATCATATTGGCGAAGGTATACTTAACCTAACTACTTATCCAATGCTATGCTTTAAGAGGAGCCTACTCCTGGGACGCAGACTAAGACAATGCACACATAAAGGTATGTATCCAAATGTAAATGGACCGTAATGAGATGGCAGTAGGTAAAATAACGCCAGGAATATAAACAATATATTAAAAGAAAGAAATATATATTTATACGAAAGAAGAAATATGTTAGTAACAATTAGCTCTGCACTTCTCTTTCTGCGGCTCAGAAAAGTATCCCAAAGTGCGTAGAGGCGTAGTCAAAAAAAGATAGTATAGAGAACGGAATAAGAGTAGTATTAGGGGTTAAAGTATGAAATTGTTGTTTTTATTGTAATTGGTTCGTCGAATAGACATAGAAACTTCATGGTTTGAGATATACGAAATAAACTTTTTTCACGTGGTTTCTATGATGTTCTTCTTTTCAAAATGTGAAACATTAGAATATCAACTTTGAATTATTTTTGTTATTCAACTTAGACAAGAAAGATGGATAGTGCGAAAATTCGAGTGATTTATGAATACGAGTTCCGACGCGGAAGTAACGTGGCAGAAACAGCCCGGAATATCAATGTTGCGTTTGGAGAGGGGTCTGCTAATGAACGCACCGTGCGATTTTGGTTTAAACGCTTTCGTGATGGAAACTTCAACTTGAAGAACGAGCCATGACACACGGGTGAATAACGATGAATTAAGAAAGATGGTAGAAGCCGATCCTAGTCAAACTACCCAGGAATTAGCGGCATGGTTACCCATAATATTGACTCATTTGCGTCAAATCAATAAATAAAAATAAATACGCAAAATGGGTGCCTCATGATTTAACTGATCTGCAGAAAGAAACACGTGTTGAAACTTGTGTTGCTGTACACAAATGAAATTGCAACGAATTGCGATATTTGATTAAAGTGGATTCTTTATGATAACCGTAAAAGAAAAAGTGTCCTTACACTTACAAATAAAAAGGTAATGGTAACTGTTTGGTGGTCTCAGCATAGTGTTATTCACTATAGTTTTCTCCGATCTGGTCAAGCAATAACGGCAGATGTCTATTGTATCTAACTCAGAACAATGTTGGCAAGCAATGAAGTCAATCTTCACCATAGTCTACGCTAGAATGACAGAGTTTGTGCTCGAGTGATTTTAGTTTTGTCGGTAAAATATTTCATAATCCGTAGAGACTATTTAAGGTTTCCATGAGAAACTTAAGTAAAAAATCACTAAGAGTTTTTGGCAGAGTTCTAGTATAGAATATGATAAAAAAAAACAGAACCTTAGAAGAAAATTGGGTATAAGATCAATTATAATAATTTGCGGGGATTTTTAGGTGTTTCCTAGTTAAGCTATGCTATGTTGTAGGTTAGTGAAAACGGGTGTGAGAAATGTTATACTAATTTCTTTAAAATTATTTTTTTAGCCATCAAAACAAAAGACTTGCTTTATATCCTTTTTTGCCATTGTGACACAACGCGTGCAGGTTGATACTTAAAAGCTGAATCTAAAAGGAAAACTGTGAATTAGGGCTCGCCCGCAGCCTATCTACAATCTCGGTTTTTGCAGGACCAAAAACTTTCAATAAATAAAGTTCATACTATTAAAGTTCTTATTTTACCAGGATCCCGCAAATGCCGAGATCATTCCGCGGGATGTTAGCATTCCTAGGAGCCAGGTCTTAGGAAATTAATAATATTCAATTAAGATTTGATGAAACCTATTGCTTAATTTCTTATTAATTATTTGAACAAGCACACTATTGTTATTGTAAAATGGCCTAATGATTGTTTTTAATTTGTACCTATGAAATATTCCTTTAGTATTTATTTTTGTAAACAAACATTTAATTTAACGGAATTTGAACACGCTCATAATAAATGATAAAAGACTTAATAGGAAACTGCGTAGTATATTTTCTAATAATATATTATCCTCCTCTCATTCTATTGATGTTTAGTATACCTACCTACTTAGATAAATGTAAATTATTGTTGCTCTCCTATCCTGAAGTTGCGTTAGGCAAATGGTTGGTTTATTATATTCGTAACGTAATTTCACATAAGAAAATGGTACACTGATTTAAGGTTCCGTACCCAAAGGGCGCCGTTATTATCCTATTACTAAGACTCTACTGTCCTTTATTGAGGACTGGATCCGTGCCTGCACCCGGCTGTTTTCCATGGATCATTATTAAATATCAAATCTCAAATAGTTGTAGCTTGAAGTTCGTGAATTATTTTGAAAAATCAAATTGATAGGAATTGCGATAGATTTTAAAATTAGACAATTAGGCCTCTGGCCCGCATAAAGCCATTGATTTGGTTATAGCGAAAGTTTATGGCGTTATAGCGACATTTTGTATAGTCACGTTTATTATGTAAAGTTACACCCAATTAATACCCCTACTTATGGGTACCGATCTCCTCTAGTTTTGTCCAAAGAAATAACGTCTAAATGATTTGTAATAAAAAATAAGAAAGCCACCTACGTCACATTCATTAGGGTCCTAAGTTTGACGCGTAATTCATAAATAAGATATAATAATGACGTGCCTTGCGAGAAACAATAAATTTTTGGTCACCCACTCTATGTCCAGCGCTTACGACACTTGCTTAACCTCCACATGGTAGATCAAAGCTTTATGCCTTTGCCAATATGAAATCAATTCTAAATCATTCTTATACTCCGCAAATAAGGCAATAATGCCGACTTAAAGTTCCAGCTAGCTATGGCTTCTTCTATGGCTTTCATAAAGATAATGCTTTCAATAGACACTTAACAGTTAATCAACGATATATACAGTTCGTATATAAAATAACGCTTCCAAAAATTTAAAAAAAACAAGTAAGATTTGGGTGTTTAAATTTTATAGTTATGTTTAAATGGATTGACATAGAATTTCAGTTGAATCGAATGGAAATTAAACTACCTACTTCAACACAAGTTGGTTAGCAATAGCATTATTTGTTGTTGATTTGTTAGTGGCTCAGAATGGAATGACACGGTACACTTTTAAACTTAATTATAGCATGAAATAACACTGCCTATATTGTTTATTTATTACATATTCACAAGCGTAAACCAGATAAGAGCTTCACCAAAAACGTCATCTGTTATCGACATACAGTGATTTAATTGGAACAAGGTAATAATTTACATATCTACTTAAACATCATTATTTTATTATCACCCATCATAAACTGAGTACCGACGACTTCTCGGTACATATCTACTTCTTTGTATAGTGAGTGTTTATTATCGAGATATTCTTGAGCAATATGTAACTAGTTATTTATTATTTCTACATTCGCATAATCTCACTTCCCTTGTTTCTCTGTTCAATAATCATGAATATATGAAATAGATTACCATTTCTTGACTCTAATAATGAGTCTCAGAAAACATTAGCAGCCTAACATCTTGTAGAAGTTTCAGAAATCTAAGCTAACAAAACTGTGCCGTTACTGAAGCAGCCATAATCCAAATGAGTTTGAAGCTATAAAAGAAGGTGTGACATACGTAGCTCATCGCACGTAGTGCAGAAGATGAGAGCGCTGGGGTAGCCGATCGGCTGCCAGCTCGCGAGCTCCACTCGACGCACGGGCGCTGATCGAAAGTTCGACTCGAGATCGAGCGCGCATATGTAAATATCGGCACATTTACAAGCGAAAGGGTTCACCGGAGCGGCGCACTAACGCAGCGTTGCGCGGGAACCAGTCAGGTGAGATTCCTACGGCGTCCGATAGAAAAATGTCGAACGAGCTTCGAGCCCATCACTCCGCGGGTGTATGGTGCGCGACGCGGCCGCCGCTCGACTGCCGCCCTCCTCTCGCCACCGCGCCGCTGGTTTATTTATCACTTAATTATTGAACTCGTCAGTGTAACAATTATGAAGCTCGACGAGTAGGCCTGGAAAGGGTGCGTGGCGCTATCGCGTCTGCGTTTGCCGTTGCGTCACAGCGCCACGCCACCGCTGCCGCCGCACGCGCAGCCTTCAGATTTTATCTTAACCAGCCAACAACCACTCCGCTGATCACCTGTTATTAAATTTACACACATTAACCTTCAACTAACTAAACAGTTAGCGATATCTTCCTGGCTTTTATTTCCGTGGTAATATTATGTAGGTAGCTAATTATCTAAATACCAGTTTTAATTCTTAGTTTTTGAACCAAAACTATACCAATGACCAAACCCTACCTATTATTAATAATTATTATTTTTCTATCCTATTGTTTGAGCTGAAGCTCAACAGAGCAGACGGACTTTATAAACTCAAGTCCAAAAGTTCAATTTTTTTAGGGTAGGGTTCGGCAATAAGCGAATTGCGTACTGCCAAATATTAGTTAAATATAGATACTTAAATATAAAAAGGCTGGCTGGATGATATGATGATATATACTTAAGTACATAATTGATTTGATAACGGGAAAAATTATATTGCAGTTTTAGCGCAATAACATTAATTTTAATTTATCTTAATGCTTACTTACAAGAATAAAAGGCTTGTCCACGAAAGTATTTCGTATAGATCATTTATTCCAACAGTCGTTGCGTCTGTGAAAATTACATACTAATAGAATAGTCCTATTTTAAAATAGGGAAGATATGTGGCTGCCTCTAAACGGAAAAGAGAGGGTGCCGGGATCTTGGTAACCCATCAGTTTATTTGTATTCGCGCTTGCATAGTAAAAGTAATAAAATCAAAGACAATAAAATATATGTAGTAATATTAGTCGAGTAACGTCTTAATACTCAAGATTTATCCGGCTAACGTTCTCTATATAATATAAAAGTTAAGGAATAGGAGTAAGATGGAGTAGGGTTATAAATATTAAGCTGAATGCCATAAAGGCCGGAGCCGGTAATGTCTTAAAAAAATAACAAATATGTCACAATGACAGTAATTGACAGCTATTTGTCACTGTCAATGTCAAGACAGTCACAAATTAAGTTGTCAAAATGTGAGAGTAAAAATGTAAATAATACACATGATTTCAGCAATTTAAGTGCGTAAAACTATTAGGTTTCTCTCAACCAAATATCGACAAAATGTACTCTAGAACTGTTCTGAAGTGAGTATTTGCAATATCATATTCAATTGTAATGTTTACATAGTTTAGTGAACGCTTTACAAAATAAATACACAGTAAATTCTGGACTATGTTTTCTATTTACATAATTATAGCTGATCCAGCAACATATAATTAATTTACAGGAATTGCAGATGTACTGGAGTCTTTTGTAGATATTTGAGTTCAGCTGAAATCTCTACTGCACTCAGACCATTTTATTTCAGTGTCCATCCAGATCTTTTTGGAAAATTTCCAGAACAAAGAGTGAGTTATTCTTGTAAATCTTTTGCGATATTATTAGACCATTGTCTTTAACCAAATCAATAGAGTTTTTAAGAATCTTTATTCTTCCAGTACTATTTGTCTTTGTTAACCACTTATAAGCTAACCCAACCCACTCACTATTCTACACTGACCTTGTATAATAGGTAAAGAACCTTTCTCACTGTGGTTCAACGTTTATTGATTGGTTCATGGGAAATAAAACAGCAGACATAATACTAACTCACATACTTTGTATTGATTTGCTAAGAGCTAATCAAATTTCTGAGGATAAGGAAGGGTCTGAGGACAAGGGAGAAAAGCTATCTTGAAAATGTTACATTTGCAAATAATTGACCAGTGTATAAATGTATTTTTTGGTCTTAAAAATGTTAGGTATTGGAGTGCTAACCCTTTTAGTAGAATTTAAAATTCACAATGCAGCTAATAATGATTACAGTATTATGATTACATCAAATTGAATTAAAAGAGATAATAAGCAATTTAATTGGAAAAGAGATATTATATTTGACAGACATGGTTATGATTTGGATTCCTATTTATTTTGGATATGCATATTGTATTTTTTACAGAAAATTAATGAAAATTCTCTACAGCAATTGAGTGCACTATTAGAAGCACAACAGTCAAGTCGATGTTTATCTGTACCTCCACTACCATTTTATTTGAGACAGAAAAATATGCCAGAAGGTGAGATTCAAACTTTTTCTTTTTATATAAATTAGTTGTTCATATTTTATTTAAAGAATTTATCTAATAATATATACAATCCTAATTTTAGGTGAATTCAAGTTAGTTAAAATTCAATTAAATGGTAGTAATGTTCGGGAAACGGTTGTAAAAGTATTAAATGCATGCGATATGCCGACAAACTATGTGGATAAAATACCTCGCAGTAAACCTCAAAAGGAATACATGTAAGTGTTTGTTGGTTAATCACAACCATTTTTATTAAAATTATTTTCAAGATTTAATAATTCTGTATAACTACCTATTTCTAGAAAACCAGATTTTGCTAAAGCATATCAAGATTTTAAATACGAATTTGAAAAAGCAACTGATATGAAAAGAAAAGTTGAAGAGAGAAAAGCTATTAATAATGTTATGTAAGTATCTTTCTTTTATGCTTAACACTTATACCTAGTTGCACAAACATCCACTTAGCTTTAATGATGACTTTAAGTTCTAAATTTGAAAATTTGTGTCGGTAATGTTGCTTTATTCTAATGACATTTTTAATGGACACTTGTGCAATGGAAATTTACTCTATTATACTTGGGATAAAACCAGGATGGATATTGCAATGAGATAAGTGACTAAATTAAAAAAAGTTGATTTCCTGCAAGTTTGAAATTAAAAATTGAAGTTTAAATAAGAAGCACAGTCACTCCACATTATAATTCACCATTAAGTGCCTTCCATCGAATTGATGCATACCTCTGTTATTATGCTTGAGGGATCTTCTTCAATCCTTTGTCATCATTAGTTAATAAATAATAATAAATAAATATTTAACAACATCACATACAGTTGTATTATAATTTATAATACACAACATTTAATTTAATTTGTGTTAAAAAACATAAAAATATGTTTGTCATTAATATTAGGTTTTTATGATTTAAAAATTCTAATTAATATTAATCCTAACTTGTATTGCTTTCTTTCAACAGTGAATGGATCTATGACAATAGTTACATTGCCAAAGAAAAATATGACTCCACTATAGCCACACGAGGACAAGTGAAAAATCTCATTGACAACCTCTGTTCGATACATGGTATTAAAGAAGTTCGTAAATTAAAATACATGCCATATTTACTTTATTCAATAAATTCATTCAATTCTGTACTGTCTCAAGTGTGTACCTATATAATGTATACTTTCGCTGATTTTGTTTTTGTAATATTACAAAATTTTACAAAGCACTGATTTAATGATGGATTCTGGAGAGCGGATAAGTGAGCGAGACTACAATTCCACCTAATTTGTACTTTCATGTTGTTTTTTTTTTTAAATATTTTAGATAAAGTATGATAGCGGTTGGAATATAAGCCACATTAGAGGTGCACTTCAAAGCTTAGTTTCGTTAGCCTCTCAACATTCGAAGGTTATGGCAAATTTAGAAGGTAAACCTTTTATTCTTGGATTTGCCTAATTGGATAGAATTGTTTCTTATTTATTATTTTATTTTTCAGGTAGAACAATAGCATTAGGGCAATTTACAGGTGTAAGTTTAGATGGCGACGTTTACCTTAATATCATCGACGTTAGAAACGAATGGCTCTCGGTAAGCATTATTATTTGTCTTTAATAGGGATGACGACTAATTTTTATTTGTTTGTCCGTCAGGTAGAGTGTTGAAAAATATTAAACACGTATTTTTTTCGTAATCATAAAATTACGGCGATACATGGAGTTGAAATTTCGCATGACGTCACGTTATGGTACGTTTTCTACAAAACTATGACGTAGCAAGCCCCCACTCCTCAACTTTAATGCCTGTTATCTAAGCTATTTCTTGTTAAATTGAAGTAAAAAAAAATACGAATCTAACATTTTTCTATTATCTGACTGACGGACTAAATAGAATGGCATTTTTTTTTTACTCAGCCGTCCCTATTTAATTGTGAAAATTAATTGCCACGTTTTAATGGACGTCTTCAATGTGTTTAATGTTTTAAATTGATATTCTTGTCAGTTCAAAATGTTAATCTATGCTAATATTATAAGCAAAGGTCTTTTTTAGATTTCTGTACCCAAAAGGATAATAATATCGTCATCAGGCTGTATCGCATGAGCCCTGATTGTTAAATAATTGAATTTTCAACGAATAACGTATCTTTGTGGTCGCTATAACAACAAATACTTAGTAAAAATATAATACGATAAATATTTACGGTGGCTCTCATACAGCAAACGTTTTAATTTTCACATTTCACCGATCCCGCTTAGGCGAATTTCAGTATATACATCAGCATGTCAAATTATTAGATGGCACATTTTATCTAATTGCATCGATAGTTGCGCTCGGAGTGTCGAAGAATAAATTGGTTGTAACATATAATGTTGTAAAATATATATTAATGAATGACTTGTGAACGACAGAAGAAACAGGACAAGCAAAAACAGTAGTTGACAGTAGTAGAAAATTATTGTCAAGAAAAAGGTTGTCTTCAAAACTTCTTTTCTCTAACACGAATTACCACAAAATCTCAGAATTCCATATTGGACTTTTAACTTTACCAGCAAATTATTAAATATTTGTCAGTTTTGTGTAGGACTACAAGAAATGACAGTTTTTCCTGTGTAAACAAACATTACAAATGTCATCTATTAATGTAGGATCAGACTGACGATCTTGTAACTGTCGTATTTATTGAAACAAAAACTTTTTAATTAACAGAATTAAATACACTCAATTACCACACTTTGAGATTTTCGTACTTACTAAATATGAATGGATGTTTGTGGGCCAGATTGTAAACATTCGTGCGCATTACTTTACCCATAACTAGTATTTATTTTATTTGGGCACTGACTGCTAGAATGAGGAAGTATTCAAAAAAAAGAAAGCACTAAAAACACCTCCACTAGATGGCGACTCTAGCAAAAGTTGATTTTTGCAGGAAACAACTATTGATAGTCATTTCCGTTCCTTTAATTTTATTGAATTTGTAGCAACTTCAGTAGCTCATACGCTGGTTTTAAGGTGTTATCTCCGAAGTTCCGGTTCCGATTGATTTTCTATGTTGTCTCGGGCCTGGCTGTTGTAGAACCTTCGCTCGTTGTTTTAGATTTGGGATCTGATCAATGTAGGTATGTGTTGATGTCTAATAATAAATATGCTTTTATTCCAGTTAATAAAAAAAGTGAGTCAAGAAGACAGTGCCTTAACTATAATACCAAACTATGAAAAAGCTCTATCAAGTATTTTGAGAGAAATACACATTCGCAGAAGGTAATGGATGTTCATGATTCTATTAATTGGAATTTTAATTGATTGATTTCCTTTATAGTTCAATAGACATTTATCTTTCCAGAAAGTATATGCCCAAAGTTTCAGCGCATCAATACTGCAGCCATCTCAGACAGCTGATTACTTCAATTGGTGACTTCTATGGGCGCGGCAACACGTTCCCGTCCGCCGTTCCGAATTCACTGAGTAAATACGAGATCGTCGTTGAACCGTAAGATGAATCTATTTAGCTGGTTCATAATATTAATAAGAAAGTTGTTCAGAATTAAAACTGTAACCACAATGCAGCAATATGGCCAGACGAAATTATGTGTAAGAAATCAGTGGATTGAGCAAAGATTACCTTTAATATTTTTTTTTATTTGAAATGCATAATTTTATATTAAAAAAGAAATTAAATTTGCGAACAAGTTAAAATAAAAATAAAACATGAGGATTAAATTTGATCTGGCCTCATGGCAACGTCGCCGCAACGGCGCATGTACTGTTTTACCGACACGTCGGTATAACAGACCAAACTAAGGAAAACAGCGCAAATATTATTTTGCTAATTAATTAAGCAGTTTGTGCAAATTTTGCACAACGTTAGGGAGCGATCTTTTTGTACTGATCAGCTTGTCTAGTAGCATCATAGAAGTCTTCAATAATGACATTTTTTTGTATCTCCCCTTGTTGAAACTTTTTTGCAAAATGGTCCATACAATTGCTAATCATGTTATTAAAAATAAAAATAGGCTAGAATGATTTATCCTAACAATTTGTGCATTAATAGATGAATGATTGTTTGTGTGATATAATTATTCAATATTTTAGTTTTAAGTAGAAAAAGGACAAACACGAGAAAAGAGCATTTTGGAAAGGAGGAATTTAGGATTAAAACTAAAAAAAATACTAAAAGTCATGGTTTCAAGTCCCATCTTAGCGTGCCAGGGAGAATGTGGATTTTTTAGGCATTCTCCATTAAGAATATTCTTCAGTATAGCATTTTGAATGCAAAATTGATTAAATATACAATGGACGGCAACAAGTATATTCGTATTTTTGTAAAGTTTAACAAGCGAATCGTGTTCTCACTTACTATACCGAGACTTGATATTCCAGAGAAGCAGGTCCGCTGATGGTATCGCCAACTGGTCAATTTATAACACCCTCATCATGTCCCGCTGATGAATTAATCGCATTTATAGCAAATAACCTTGACGAAGCCACAACTTTGATGACGGAATACAGCATGTAAGACGATTATTTATATATCGCTCAAAGGAAGAGGATTTTATAGAGGCACTCTTTATCTTCCTTTTTATTTAGTGCCAAATAGTATTCGAAATAATAATAAAAAATTCTTTATTAGCTTTCTTGACTCTTTATTGTCTTTTTTTTTAGAAATAAACACGTCGAAAGAGCGCTTTACAAGGAAGTAAAAGAGAGATTTGGCCTTTTAGAGCTCAATAAAGACGATAGCATAACTCCAGCTTTAATGATTTCGTGCTGTCAAAGATTGCTTACTCGAATAGATAAAATTGGCACGGTAAGTAGAATAGAAGAATGTTTATTAAGCACCAAATTACAAGTAACTTTACTAATATGCAAATCATTTAAAATTAGGTACTAAAACTCATCATTATGCTGCAGTAATAAATTGTTAAATATTAAAATGGTCTTTGGACTAAAAGTATTTTTATACAATTAAGGGGCCTATTGGAAAAGTTGTATGACGCAGTGATCACAGCGTTCAGCCGATGATGCGGAAGTTAAGCTACTTTGTAAAAGCTCTGTTAGAGGATGGGTTACCAAAGAATATAATCTCTAGCTTCTCCTTCCTTCGAAACCACGTAAGGCCGTCGGCACCCGACTGTATCTGTAGTTTTCATCCACCAATCGGCACTGGGTCCACGTGGTGGGTTATAGCCCGTTATCTTCATTCGTTTCCATCCATAAGTAAGGTCTGCTCCACAACAATTGGCAAATTAATAGGCTGGTGATAAAAGGAGCTGGTTACCCTTAATTATGTTTGTTTAAATAGAATTTAATGTCAAATGTTTGTTACAGAAATTGCAAGGAAACATTTTATATATAACACATTATTACTCTGTACTATCAGACGGTGTATTGTGCATACCTTGGGACTTTAAATAACGTTGAATCAAGTTGAAATGTTAATTTTGTAGAGAAATATTTATAAAAATAGAAAAATAAATGGAATATATGCAATAAATAAATTGATTTTATTTAATTTTACTTGTTCACCGTAAACTTGTAGACGCAACTGTTTTTTTTGACTAGTTTATGTCGTAGGCGGACTGAATGGAACAAGAAATTGTATCGAAGTAACTAATTTAGCTGACGTGGTCCATGAAACGGTTTTCAGAATAAACTATTTAGACAACTTTTTGCAACTTTTTGTCGTCGATTCTACAGCGGTTCAGTAAATTTGTAGACGGTGAAAATGAACTTACTTTCTTTTTTCTTACTATTAAAGTTCAGAATTGTTTATTTACGAATACTTACTCTACAAATTGAGAGTTATTTGCCTTTATACAACTAAATTAAAAATTATCGTTTACCTACGCCATCCACATTAGAGTTAAAAACTAATTTAAACTGTTTTTTAACGTAATCGAGCGAGCGAGATAGACAGCACGCTATCAGTCGTGATGAACAGACTAATGGGCGTATTCAGTCGCCTAGCAGACCGATTATGCCGCTTTGGACTGTTCAAACAACGATTGTAACTTACGCTCACGCATAAACCAGTTTATTCGAAACTAGTCTCCGAAAAGGTTGTCATGGAGAAATCACGAATAAAACCGTAGCGACATCTAGTTTAATTTCGAGAACTAATGTATATCAGTTGATACCCAATAAACAGTAAAAAGAATGGTTTGTCCATTCAACGCTCACGCTTACAATACACTTTTGGGTTGTTATTCTTGTAAAACTATTGAATCGGTTATTTTAAATATAATCGAGTAGTAAAATGTTACTTTCAATATATTTCTATTATATTTAATAGTAGTATAGCATATAAGAGTATTTAATTTGTTCCTTCTTTTCAACTCTCGTATGAAAATCATTCAAACTACAAGATAATTTCTTTAGTTATTGAATTATGGTTCTGAATTCTAAAAAATTGGGAACCCCTATTCTAAGTGATCGAACTAGAATTGAGGAGATGCGTAAAAGCGGACCAATTCTTCCCGTAACTGACGTTGCTGAAAGAATTGCTCCGCAGCAGAGCGATTCCGTAAAAATCCGAACCCAAATCCGTTTAACTTATATTCGATTAAATCGATTCATACGTGTCTCAGATATTCTATCCCTAGTCATTTCGAAACTCACTTCACTTATGCCACGAAACATTTATACCAATCGAAGATTGAGCGGATTCGCTTTAGAAGTGAACCTGATTGAAGTCGGGTTCGGATTTTTATGGAATCGCTCTGGTGAAATGGCAGCGGGCAAGACACACAGCGAGAAGAACTGATGGCCGTGAGAAAGGTTCTAGAATAACGACCAAGGACCTGAACATTCAGTGGGTAGGTTGGGTAAGTGCCTTACCGGGTGAACTGACTTTGTCAGTCAGCAGACTATGAGTAGGTATATAATAACTGTTAAAAAATATACAAAAGAGTTCAAATATTTATTTATTTTAATTGGCAGTCTTTTTTCACAAATAATAATCGTTTCTTACATTATATAATAATATTAATGAATAGAACATAGTAAACAAATATCAATAACTGAAATGTGAAAAATTTACAGACTTATCTTTTTACAAAGAACTGATGGAGTATGTAACTTGTTTATTAATGAATCTACATACTAATAATATATTTTACATACTAAAATTAGTCACCGCTTGAATTAATATATTCAATAGAATCCCATAAAAGACTAGATCAAAGCGAGATTTAAAATATTTACATACAAGTACTGTGGTAAATTTTACTATACTATTAATAGAATAAATATACACTGGATATTGTTTATAACCACTAATCGACTGGAGTATTAATTATAAATATGTATGAGTATTATATCTGCATGTCAAGTTAGCATATAATATGTCAAATTTTTGCAATGGATTTTGACAACTACAATCAATGTAATAAGGTATAAAGTCAAGTGGGAAATTTGTATATAGTTACAATTATTTATTAACATTTCATTATTTTTCATCTATTCACTGGCTTAAAGTAGCACCGATAATACATACTTGAGTGTGTAGCAAAAGACTATGGCCATCACTACATTCACATTGATCATCACCAGTGCAGTGTGTAAATATCAGTTGCGCTTGTTTTGCTGGACAATGATCAATTTGTTCCTTTCCTTGGTGACTTTGGCTGCTGGTATACTTGTGGCTGGCATCAGCTGCTTCAAATTCTGACTAGGTATTACTGGAGTCTAAAAAATTGTTCAACATTTTAATATTATCATTCATCATTTATATATTATATAGTATATTTGATAGTTTAATATGCAGAACACTGAAATTAAACTTATTGTACTTCTCGACGAGTAGTTCCTTTACAAAAATTTGGAACATTAATTTTCCTTATTATTTAAGGGGTATAAAAATGCAAATGCAAAATTAATCAAGTGTATATAACATTTTAATCGTAATTTTTTTTTCATAAGAATCTATACTAATATTACTAAGAGGAGATATTTTATTTTTTGTTTGTTTGCATTGTATTGTATTGGATCTGAATCTACTGGACCGATTTTAAAAATTCTTTCACCTACGGGAAGCTTCATCAAGCACGAGTGACATAGGTTATAATATATGCGGGCGAGGTTGCGGGAAGACAGCTAGTATAAAATACAATGAAAAATATGACAAAACCCATATACAAATAAATAATGCTTACTGGATGACATCTAGCAATTTGCTTCATGCGATTAACCAGTTGCATAGCATCATCAGATGTTTCAGAATCTGTGGTCATGCCGACAGATAAAGCTCTTTCAACGTTTCCTGTATCCAAATATCGGTGCATTGTATGGAAAGGCCTGAAAATAACGAACGGATGTATATAATTATATTTATTTAATTACTCTATAGTAAAAGTGTGCAAAGAAATAAATTAGCTGTTTAATTTTTTTATTTGATTTTTTAATTTAACTAAGTCCGAATTAACCTAGTTTATTTTTTCACACGTATATAAATAGCTCGGTGGTGTAGTGGATAAGCGCCGCGGCCCGCGATTGTTGTCGTTAAGCAACTTTCGCAAGGGTCGATCACGGGATGGGTGACCAAAAAATTATTAAGCTACTCCGTGCTTCGGAAGGCACGTTAAGCCGTTGGGCCCGGCTGCATTTGCAGTCGTTAATACCCTCCAATCCGCATTGGGCCAGTGTGGAGGGTCATGGCCCATCCTCCTTGACCATCTACAAGGAAGGCCTGAGCCCCTGCAGTGGGAACGTAAAAGGGCTGGTGACGATGATATAAATTGGTCATTATACAATATTTTTTATCAATGCACTATGCTATAATCAAAATCAAATTAGTTTATTCAGTTTAGGCTTTTACAGAGCACTTGTGAAAGTCGAAAACTACGCCATCGGTTCGCTAAACTACGGCTAACCTTATACTGAGACTAATCTAATGATATACAATATGTGTGATATTTATGAACAGAAAATCCACAAACTGCATAAAAGGTGTTCACTTACCTCGTGGTGCAGTGTCGTATCAAATACAGATATCGGTGGAGCCACCATAGCCACATAGGTGGTGAAGGGTTAATTATTTATGTTTGGATTAAAATGATATGAACGCTTTGGGATACACTAGAACCCGTGGTACTCACCGTCCATGATTATTGGGGCGTAATCGTTGCGCGTGCCGCCATGCAGCAGCAGCGCGAGCCCTCCACGCTGCAGCTTCATCTGCTGCCGCAGCGACACCTGCCTCTAATGCCGCGCATGCCCCGCGTAAATCTACTACCTAAATCATCATACATTTTATACTAAATAACCAAGTTATGTATAGAAACCATTTTTTAAAAACTACATATTTTAATGTTAATCTTGACAGGCTGCCCAAAGCTTGGCCAGTCTGTCACAAGAGTTAAGTTCCCAGTCCATAAGTTTTTCAACAACATTTTCAACGATTATACTGGTACTTCAGATAATATAAATTAAAAAATATGTCAAAACTGTCCTCATTAATTACTCTGTCTAAAAAAAGAAATATCATTCAATGTTTTTTTGTTCACAAGATTTAATAAATAAATAAGGATTTGATATGATTGACTGATAATATAGATGTATCATAAAAAGTATACTTCTTACCTTCTGAAAATACCTATAAAGTAAGGTTTTCATTTCATCATGCGAGAGTTTATCAAGCCGGGCCATTAGCATTTGTTCACCACGTGTCCTGGATTCCCTATTATCATGGGTATCTGACAAAGAAGCAGATGGTGACTTTCCACAAATCAAATTATTCTTATATTCAATGGCAGTATCAATGGCCTCTATTGCTTCTTCACATTCCAGAAGTTTACGCTCCTGAAATATATTAAAAAAAATAAGTATTCTTTAAAGGAAATCAAAATTCTAGTCATTGTAATATTTTCACCTCTGAATCTGATAAAGATTTGTATATTTTTCTTTTGTGACCCAAACTACACCTCTGTTCATGCAAACACTCTCTTGTTTTGCGCAAATTTTTAATTTCTTTTCTAAGCATAAGTTCCTTTTCTTTAGACAGTTGTAAATTCTCCAAATCATTTGTTTTTTCTTTCAAAATGCTGTCCAATTGAGTTATTCTGTGAGTAAAATGCTTGAGAGAATGTGTTTTTCTATCTTTGAGATCATTTGATATAGATGTTTCTGAGATTTCATCTAGTTTCAATTTGTCTTTCACAAGTTCCACATCCAATGTGTTTTTACGTTTTTCATCTTTCTTTATTTGTTTTTTTATTTGGTCAATTTGTTTTTTATATGTCTTCAAATTAGTTTCATGCCTTCTTATCTCTTTTAGTGTATCTTGATCTATTAAATTTCCATCAATCCTATCTAAATAATTTTTATTTTGATTACTTACTGTTTTAGAAAGATCATCAATCAACCTTTCTTTAGCAATGCACAAATTAATCAATTCTTTAAGTTGTGTTTGACTGCTTCCTATTTCTTTTGAAAGCTTCCTTGCTAAAATTTGTTTTTGAGTGTATTTCTCCTTTATTACTTTGTATTTCTTACATATTTCTTCAGTCTTGGGAGAGTCTATCATTTTTAATAATTCTCTTTCAATAAGCTTTGGCTCTGGATCAAGGTCTTTTTTGTGAGATTCTATTATAATTTTTTGAGATTCTGGTGATATTGCTTTAGCTGCAACTTTTCTAAGCAATTCCAGTTCAGCCCCAGATAAACTTTCACCTGGATGTATTGTTCTTCTTCGTCCAGAATTTGACTGAGAAGTCATGATAGGCAATGACTGAGATCCACTGGTTTCTGATATAGTAATATCATCAGAGTCTATATGATTTAAGTATTCTTCACACCTTTCAGCAAATAATTGATCATTCTTTTCTCTAAAATAATCCATGAACTTTTCTAGCTTATCTTGAAACAAAGTGTCAGAGTGACTATCTTCCTCAGAATCACTTTCCGCATCAGTTTGATCATCACTAAGTTCACTTGGCTCCGTATCTTCAGCTATTCTAGGTAGGCCTTGTTTTGGTCCAACATCCTTGTTATCAACTCCAACATCAGTATTCAAGCATTCATCACATTCAGCTTTTAAAAATAACCATTCTGTCACATGATTAATATCTGTTTCTGAAAGAGACTTAGACTGTAGTATTTTATTAAACAAGCCTTCAGCATTTGAAACTAATTTAATCCATTGAGTTGTAGCAAATTGTAAATTAAAGTTACTATCATTTTGCTGTCCAATGCTTTTATCTGTATAAACTGGAGTATTATTGTCTGCAAACAGATTAACTGTCACAAAATTCTTTATACCACGGCAACATAAGCAAAGGTTGAGTATTTTCAAAGTGTCTTGGTAATCTTCTGGTTCTGTACTAATACAGCCAATCACCCAAGTGAAAGCTCTACCTCCAAAAGAGTCTCGAAGCATTGCAGTTAAAATGCACTGGTCATAATTAATTTGTTTTGGTGGATTGCCAGCTAACAGTTCTTTGATAATACTTTCTAATGCAAACAGACCAGACTCAGGGTATGCAGCTAAATCACAAAAACTTGCAGTAGACATTCTGTGGTTGAGGACTCCATTTGTGCCAACCCATTTTTGCTCAACACTAACTGTAAACACAGTATGATTATTTCCTTGGCATCTTTGTCTCCATCCTAGTTGTAAATATTGAAAGGCTTCTTCTAAATTATAACATCTGACCAATCCAGCTCCGAGCACATCAAAAATGTTATTATTGACTATTTGCATCCATGTGATATGTAATATAAATTCTCTTTCAGGCATTTGGATGAGTTTATGGAATATCTCTGTGAGGAATCGAGGCACTATTCCTTGATCACTCTCACTGTGTATGCATTCAAAACCTGAAAAGAAGAAACAATTAAGGTTATATAAGTAATAAAGACATCATTAATTTTAGAACACAATTAAAGAAAACATTTACCAGATCCAAATAAAGTGTAAGTTTTTCCTGTTTTGGGTTGACCAAACACAACAACAGAAGTATCACAGCCATCTAAGAAACAATTGATTTGAGGAATCATAAAAGAATTAAAAAGATTGGCTTGAGTACAGTCGACTGGTAAAGCTCTATTAACGTGGAAAGTTTGACCGCTTTCTGTAATCACAATCTGGGTTACAGGATTACTAAATATGCACTGTGTGGAGTCTGCAAGACTTGGTGGTTTGAGCCTAACAGCGATTTGAACAGGAATATCCATTTTAGCGTCCTTTGGTCCTTGTCAGCTTTTCACTACGAAATATTAGTCTCACTAGCAAAAAATAGGTTTCAAATTAAAAAAGCTAAACTAACGAACCACATTTAAAGTTCAAACGACGCAAAGACTACAATTCTTTCTAGGAATCATTTAAAAATAATGTAAACACTAGCACCATACGAAAACACTTTTTGTGAATTGTTCACGGCCCGTCAACTCCGTACATTAAACCAATCGCGTAGGGGTCCAGTGATGTATGACATTTCCACACGCCCCTCCTCGCCCCTGTCAGTAGATGGAGACATGACACCTGACAGATACTGTCATTACAACAAAGAGTAAAGATACTAATGTTTTAATTAATCTTTAATTAATTTTACTTGTTGGAATTAATTTATTCATTTCACATTGGCAAAATTGTGTGAAATGCGCTGATATGCCATTAATAAAAGAAGAAGAAGACTTAAGTATGTACCTACATATCAGGGAATTACAAGTGATTGAGTAAAGTTTCTTTTGTGCTTACCCCGTTCGCTTTATTTGTAATATAAACTCTCCATTTTTCGAAGTATTTTTATTTGTAGAAGATGCCTAAGAAATTGGTTATGGTTGTGTTACACGCATTGTTAAAGTACGAACAGGACGCTATTCTTTGTAAGATTCTAGTGAACGAAAAAAGATTCTCCAAGTGGTATTGTTATTGTTTCGAGTTGCGGATTATCTTGGGTTTATGCAGCCCAGTATCACTGCGACCATTGCTGATCTATTGTGATCTCCACATACTACAGTTCACGGTCAAGATTACACTCTACAAGGAACTGTAGTATTTTCTTGGCCGTAAGTTCTTTAATATCGTCTGGGTGCATCACGTGCTTTCCCAAATAGATACATCGTTTTCGCATTAGTGACGGGCAATCGGTCAAAATGTGCAAAGTTGCATCCTCTGCACATTTTACTGCCGCTGATCCCCATATTGTGGTAACAATGTCTTAGTGCTGTGTGTGATACTGAAAATTTTAATCCAGGCAGAAGTGTCATTTGTAGCAAACACGATGTACCAAGATTCATCACTCCAAAATCATGACTCTTGGGTGATGCATATCCGTCATTGTTTAATGATGATGGGCTCTCAATCAGCCTACCTTCTTCAAGCAATACTGGTAAGGCTGGTTAAATCTGCTATTACCTTTAGATAATGTAATTAAAATGATATGTATCTTCACTTTATGTTGTGTTTTGGAATACAGCTATTCTTCATTATATTTATTACAGAAATTATATTCACTTGGGAACACAGCTATGCAAGAAAAAGTCATGTTGACCACACATATTAGAAAGTGGAACTGAATAGAGGTTTGTTTTTAATTTACTTAATTAGATAACAAAGTTCATGCTGCATTTTTCGGTGTATTTTAATATAGATTTTTACTTAAAAAAGTCTAGTAGATCTGTCTTTCTTACACATATAAAGAAAAATTACATTAAGTTACTTAACTCTAGCGGGCACGCTAGAAATGATTTTGATCAGAGAAATATTGATAATATAAATAACATATTTCTAATATCATCTAAGATTATATCCTGTTTTTTAATCTTATACACATAATCAATGTTGATTTCATAGGTGGTGTAATTTTAAAAGAACAAATTGAGACTCCTGTTTTTGCAGCCACTGAGTTTACTCAATTAGTTGCTTGCTCTGGAGATTAACATATGACAAACTGAACTATCTGGTAAGACCTGTCTCTTTCTTTAGTGTATCCTTATTTCAATCAAATAGTAGTTCTAATAGAGAAATTCACTGAATACTTTTGATGTTACAGACCCTGTGAAATGTACCCAAACAAAAAGGATAAGGCTTATTACCAAATAAAGCCAATTGTCACCTTTATACCAGAGAATTTATGAAGAATATAACAAGCCAAAGACATAGTTTAACTTTCTTAAAAAAGTTAAGAATACTTAAATACCTTTAAGTTTTGTAAAAAGTTATCATTTGAGAAGTTCAGACAAAAAATGAACACAGTTGCAAAAATGTTTTTGAAATGCATGTGAGCATGTGCTCTAAAAATAAACATGAGAGGTGATTCACTACCGAAGAAAAGATAATTGCTTTATTAATATCAAAGCAGAGTCTAAATTTTATGTATTACTACCAAATAATAATATTTTCTTTTTCTACTACTATTTGAATTTACTTTTTCAGGTGGACAAATGAAACTCCAAAAAAATATGCTCCATTATATTTGATGAGATGTCATTAGAAACAGCACTTTCGTATAATATAAGTAATAAGGATTAAAGATAACATTAATGGATTTGTAGAACACCGAGAAAAGGAAGTGGATTTTGCAGATCATACTATTGTATTTATGTTGGTGCTGTTTACAAGTCGCAACAGCCTTTATGTTTATTTATTTCTGTCAAGGAGCGACATCTACTGTACATCAAGAATATTTTAAAGTTAGTAGTAGAAAAAGTTGTTGAATTGGACCTTAATCCCATCGCAATAATATATGACCAAGGCTCAGCTTTCCAATCAGCACTCAAAAATCTAAAAGAAGACACTTAGTGTGATCAAATTTTAAATTGAAATCACAGGTTGGTACAGAGAATTATATTTATATGAAAAAAACTAATAGATTTAATGAAAGTAGTGAAGGTTCTTATTTTTATATTGTTATCTATGTTTTAAGAAGTTCTTAAATTTTTGTTTCAGTTGGCATTCTGCAAATATGTGGGGTGGATTTGAACATTATGATTCTACACACTTGCTAAAATGTATCAGGAATAATTTTGGTGGTAAACTTGCAAAATGGCATGATATTATTTATGTCTATGAGACAGACTGTCAACACACTGAAGCTGGGCTATGTCATAAATTAAATGACCAATGAGTTATACCTGATAAAATTAAAAAGATGAAGGTAATGCATTGGTTATTATATTAGTATAACTTAAATTAGTATAAATAAAATAAATAATTTGTATTCAGCTTCTATATTCTCTATCAGAGCAAGTGTTGATTCAATGACCTGTATTTTTAATTATGTAACAAGTAGTTAATATAGTTTACACTTAAATTACAATAATGATTCTCTAATGAAGATAATTTTAAATATGATATCTCTTTTTGCAGGTAAAAAATTGTGTAAAAATATGTCTGCAGCTTTGTCTTACACTGCAAATTTCTGTGAGTATTAGATGAAATTTACTAACAGTTAATTGTTTTGAATCAAGTTTCATACAATTATTATATGAATATTTTAATTTGCAGCAACTTATGAGGATGTGCACAGCATTAAGAAATGCAGCTGAAGTTGTTTCATTCTTTGACCAATTATTTGATAGTGTCAATGGAGCATCGATAAACAAAAAAAGATAAAGGAAAAGAGCTGTGACAGATAAGACACACCATCATTCTTTCTGGCCAAAGGCAATTGAAATTTTAGAAAAACTTTATGTGTATAAAAAGGTATGCAAAAATCAGTGCCCTCTTTAAAAAAAATTGTGATTACCTTGGAAAGTTTCATAAGGTTGTACCACTAAAAAAACGTAGCTAGGAATTGCCGAGAAAGCAGAAGAGAGCTGTGAAAAATATAATAAGTTAAAAAATAAATTATTCAATAAATAATATTGGAAAAATGTGTGTTTTATTTACGTGTTCATTTTTCCTTTTTTGTTTTAATACAACAATAATAATAAGCTAGACTTATCAGTCTGCTTTATTATTATTGTTGTATTAAAACAAAAAAGGAATTGAAATTAAAGTAAAAATAATGTGGAAACTAGGAAGACGGCTAGGTGCCTACCCAAAACAGGGCTGTATAGCTAAATGCCTTTGCCGATAGTAGATCTATATATTTAAAACGAATGAAGCTGTCATGTATCACTGGCTCCCAATCACGTTCTACGAAGAAATTTTTTGTTAGGAAGTTGGTCGTCTGATACCTACTAAGTCTGTGGAATTGTTGACAAAGAGTAAATAAATTTGACATTGACATTTCTCGTATTCATAGCCATTTTTTTTTTGGTAGATTTTCCGTAAAGGGAAGGCGAAGAGGTATTCATAGCCAATGTGGTTAGACTCGAGTGTTATTATTAAACAAAATTTACCGTTGGAGTAAATTTACGCTAAGACAGCACTTTTAGTAGTATTAGTGAACATTTATGTTACAAGTATAATAGAGACTTAGCAAAGGTTAACCTAGTAATAGGTTCTACGGGAGTAATATTTACTCCCAAAAGGTAGTAGATTTGTCTATTCTCTGTATAATATGAATTTAGACTAATACCAAAATTGCAATTTTAGCGTAAATTTACTCTGACGCTAAACCTTGTTTATTAATAACACTGTAAGAATAGTATTTTAAATTCAGTGCTACCAGCTTTCTTACCCTAGAAACTACTAAAAGATATTAAGTAAAATGAGGAAGTATTTAAAAAAAACATTAGACCCCGAAATCAAACTGAATGTTGCCGTAGCGATATCTAGTTTGATGAAAGTACCATAGTACTTTCTTGATTTCTCCATAACAACCGTTCCGGTTTTCTTTCATGTATAAAAGTAAATTAGTTTTCAAAACTCAATAAACAACTATTCTATTTGTAATTTTTCGTATTTGTATTGATATCTAAGTTTCGAACTTCGCAAATTTCAGTTCGTTAAAGGAACGGAAATGACTATCTTTAGTCCATACGTCCATACGTTTCCTGCAAAAATCAACTTTTGCTAGAGTCGCCATCTAGTGAAGGTGCTTGTTTAGATCTTTCTTTTTTTTAAATACTTCCTCGTTTTAGATTGGGTTACTTATTCGTGGATCTAATGAGGAAGTATTTAAAAAATAAAGAAACTACAAAAATTTATGTCATTAGATGGCAGCACAAATTGTTGGATCTAAACGTCAATTCATGACGTTAAACCAAAGTAAATAGAATTATCAGTGTTGCATGGCTCTGATAACCCGGAATAATATCGAGTTAAAATTAAAATAGTTCGAGTCATGCAAAAGCAACTTGATTAATACAAAGTAATCTTTGAATAAATGTCTTTTTTATTTGTACGGAGGAAAATGGAAACTCACACAATGGAAGTGAGCACTGAGATTTTTTTTTAAATTTATGGGAATCAATTGAATTGATGCTGTGATATAATTAAAAGTGGCATTTAGCTATGGTATAGAATAATATTACCGCCAAA